CTGGGCAGAGGCGGTGGCTGGGACTTGGGCGGGCGACATGGCCACGGCGGAGGAGGATGGGGGAGGAACAGGGAACAGAGGGGGGAGGAGAATTGAACAGGAGGAGGAGGAGGAGGAGGAGGAGGAGGAGGAGGAGGAGGAGGAGGAGGAGGAGGAGAGAAGCAGGAGCAGGAGGTTCGGCTCGGTCCGCTTCGAGGGTGTTCCTGCCCAGAGGCAGCGCCGACGGGCTACTCGCAGATCAAGCGGTCTCGTCGTTTTCAGAAGTTGGAAAATGTCAACGCGTGCCCTCGCTATGCCCCAGACGAATAAATCAAGATATTCGTGCCGCGACGCCTTGCTCAAAACCGTTGTTTGCCACTGAGAATCAAAACCAAAAACCCGTCGACCTTGTATTCCCAGACAGGCCTGGACATTCCGGCCGTGCACCTGACAGGCATTTTCCCCAAATCGTCACTCCTCCTTCTCCTCCTCCTCCGATGACCCTCCTCCGCCTCTCCCCCATCCTTCCCCTCTTCCTCCTCCTCCTCCTCCTCCTCCGCTTTCTCCTGTTTGGTACCATGTCACCATCTCCGCGTCTCATCATCAACACCATCACCACCAGCATCATCATCGCCATCACCCGCACCATGACCACCGCCATCACCATCACCACCACCACGGATCACCATCACCACCGCCACGGATCACTGCCTTGTCGCGTGTCTGGACACATGTGATGCAACCCGCATTCGCCAACCCCATTCGGGGCCTCCAGACGTGTAAAATTCGTCCCGTGAACGGCCCCACATGCACCCGGACTCGCTCGGGGATGGCCCCAGAGAGCCTCGAGTCCGCCCACCCAAAGAAACAAGACAACACAAGTACGCCCCAGGACAGCAACACGACATCCCCAAGACGATCAAGGGGTCGGCAGATGTGGCGTAAGCCTATCGAATCACCTCGTGCGCCTGGTGGTGCTGTCTGAAAGCGAACTGTGGCGCCGCCAAATTTGTCCACCGTTCCCTGGCCAAGAGACGAAACACTTTGGATAATACCTTGTGTAAATAATGGCAGGACGGCAACGGGTCGGAAATCGCGGACCCTGTGCTTGAATGCCTCGTCTACGTGGACACCCCGAACCTCGTGCGCGGCGCACGAGCCCACGAATTGAAGTCTGGATTTGAACGGCCCCGCAGGCATCGCCATGACGTCGTCGTCCAGCTCTTTCGACATCCCTACCACCACATTGACGGTTGCCCAAGTGTTCCTTTTGCCCACTTGATGGATAGCCTGAAGAACGAGCGCCCCGTAATCCTGTCAAGTTTCCGAACGTCATTGTGAGAACACCTATTGCGGGATCTCGTCGCCGTCCAGATCATTGAAGAGGTCATGAAAGAAGCTGCTGAACATGCTGGACATACCACTCTGGGAGCGTACTTTCTCCCCCGGCTCGCCGGAGACCTCGTCGCACAGAAACTGGACCCCAGCCCCTTTCGGGCGTTGGCAGAACTGGTATTAATGGGACCTGGTTTAGTGATGTGTACTGGGGGACGCCCCCCCCCCCGCCCCGTTCAAGCACAGGCTACGGCAGGTCTGGTTCGGAGACTCTGGCCAATCTACAATCTAGAGGCTCTGGGCCCCCCCCCCTGCTCACCGGGTCTCCCCTTACCTGCCTGGGGTCCTGGCTATAACCGGCCCTTGGCGGTGCCCGCGGAGGGCTGCACCGCTCTTGCCGCCGGCCGCCTGCTCGCGCTCCGAAGCCTCCTGCCTCTCCCGCGGACTCGGCGGCGCACCCGGCTGATTGCCGGCGCGGGGGCCTCTGCCGGTCGGGCGGCGTGCGCGTTCCCCGACACAGGATGTCACGGTCCTGACGTCTGGATCTTCAGCTGCCGGGGCTCTTCGGGCCCGGGTCCATCCAGACCCAGGCCAGTCTTCTGTTGTTCCCATCGTACCTAAGGGCCACCTCCCCGAAATCATTTCGAGCACCCGGAAAAGTGTCGAAGCAGTGACGGACGAGTGTCTCCCAGGGCCCGACACGTGAACACCCTCGAGTTTCGGTACTTCTCTGGTGCTCGAAAGTCTTTCTGGTGATCAAGGCTAAAGCAGGTGGGAACATGTTAAGGTCAGCCAAACCTTGTAGAATCCTGCAAAATCCTGCACCCAAGCCCGGGTCAATGCGAAGGAACCTGCAAGATCCGGCAGGATCATGCACCCAAGCCCAGGTCAATGCGAACCCCGGCCCTGCAGGACCATGCCAGATCGGGTGCTCTGGCTGGCCCCCGTTTGCATTGAACCCCGTCTAAAAGCTCCCGAAACTGGACCTTTGATTTGCTGCCATGGTTCGGCGCCACATTGACAACGGACGTAGCGAACCCAGAAATCTGGCAGATGCTCCCAAACCCGGGCGCGTTGAGCACTGTCCGTTAAGACTTCCTGGAACGCCAGCCCGCCCCAATCATGCAGGACGAACGGGCGAGTCCACCAAGACGCACCAAAGATGTTGCAACAAACCTTCCCTCCAAGTTCCCATGTTATAGGTCCCCACAGACGGGAAGAGGGAAAGATCTCATTGGTCCCCCCAACATTCCCTCTCCAAAGTCCCTGGTTCATACGTCCCTCTTCATTGGTTCATTGCGGAAACGGCCCCATTGGAAGACAACCGTCTGAAAATCCAAAATCATGCCAACAAAAACTACTCCTGGGAATTCAACGCCGCGAGTCGACGTGACTATTGAGTCCTGACATTTCGAATCCCTGCTGGGACACCATCCCTTGGACTCCAACATCGCGAATCAACCTGATTGCTACGTCCTGGCAATCCTAAATTATCCTGAATTGCGCGGGAACGCAACTCCTGGGACTTCAACCATACGACTCTTTGCACTTGCTGCACAATCTTGAACAGCATGTATGTGACCGGCACTAACCCGAGAGCCACATTTAAGGACTGAGCCGCTCTCCATGTTTGAAACAATTTGGCATCGTTGAACAGTTTTTTCGATGGAACATGAGCTCGGCCATCGGCACCTCTCAGCACAGTAGCCTTCGCACAATCTGCGGCACTCGCTTGTGAAAAAGATCGCTAGGCTGATCGCGGAGAACCAAGCAAGGATCATGGAGAACACGCAGAAGCACAGCACAAAGGAACCACTAAGCCTATAATTATGGCCCGATCAGTTCACTCCTCGCCTTCGCCCTCCCCCTTCTTGCCCTTGCGGCGCCTTAGAGTGCGCAGCTGCTTCGTGGGCTTCGGGAACTCGACTCGCACCCCGTCCTTCAAGAGGACTGGCTTGTAGAACGCCGGCACATCCGCGCACATCAAGGGGCTGTTTCGATAGCGGCTAATGTTCTCGTCGAGGCCCTGGCACACGCTCCAGTGCATAGTGCATGCTTCTTTGGAGAAAGAAGAATCCCAGCCCTCAAAGCCGTCAAAGGCAAGTATGAACTCCTCCGCTCGCTCCTGAGACGTCAGATTAACGAATGCGTATCCGACACCAAGCATATGGGTGAAGTTGATGGGGACGTAGACAAAGTCGAACCACTTCGAGAACCCCTTGGACTCCAGCAGACCGATGAGCTTGTCGCACGTGTAGGAGTGGGGCACGTTGCGCATCATCACTGTGGTCCACCCCTGGGCTTTCGCCTCGGCGCCGCCGCCGGGCGCCTTCGAGGTGACGCGCTGGCCCCCCGCCAGCGCGAGGCCCTTGGGAACGAACGCCTCGGCATGGCTGCGGAGGGGCGAGAACGCGGCGGCCTTGCTGCGGAGGGGCGTGCGCCCGGCAGGGGCCATCTGGGCCATCTCGCCGAAGTCCGGGCCGAGCCCCGGGGGCGGGGGCAAGCCGATGAACTTCGTGAGGTGCTGCGCGAGGTCGTCCGGGAGGTCCTTCTCGGTGTCGGACACGTCGTGGTCCGAGCCACTGCGCGAGTCGACAATGGCGTCCGCCAGGAGCACCTTCTGCGGCAGGGAGTCCATGGCGGCAGGGGACCGAGCCGACGTGGATGGGACTGTGAGCATGCCCTCTGCGAACATGCCTGCGATGTGTTTTGTGTTTGATTGCTTAGAGCTTGTGAGAGAGAATGCGATTGCGCCCGCGGGCGCAGAACACCCTTGAGCCAAGATGGTTACGGATGGGAATCGTTGCAGACTGTGCAGACGAATGCGCGCGGCACTACGTCGACTTAGACATGAAAGCACGGGCCCGCCCTCCATCCTTGAAAGCGTTGCCCACTTTGAAGAGGATTGTGCGCGGCGCTGGGGCGATAACGACATGTTGAAAACCGCCCGCCCTCCACCCGCGGAACTGCTGCAACCGCTGAAGAGGAGACGAACGCGCGAAGCGTTATAGCGAGAACCGCATTTTTGTAGCTGCTGCAAACGCTTGGTACTGATGTGCGCGGCGCTACAACGATCACCACATGTTGAAAATCACCCGCCCTCCAGCCGTGGAAACATTGCGGATTTCAGAATTCAGAATCACAACAGGCGAGGAAATTTCAGGCGAGACGCCTGGCACGCCTCACGGACACGTCTGAGGGTGCGACAGGGGAACACTATTACTAAGAGGGATAGGGGAGGAGGGGGAACAACTCGGCGACAACATTCGCCCACCGCTAGAAAAAGGTGCCACCACATTCGGCATGCATCAAACACAACTCCAAACGACTTCGGTGTTAAAATCTTCTGGGGGCGGCGCAACCTGCCGTCGGAACCCCCGCGCGCGGACTCCGAGAGACTCAGCCTACTCACGAGAGATGAACCCGAAGAGTGCCAATGAGTGCCGGCCCACCCCTCACACACCAGCCAGGTGGCGCGGACCGAAAGAGCTTGTGGCGGAAAGGCACAAGATGACGAGGGCCCTCCAGGCCCATCCTGCACGCTAGGTAGTCACCGATCGCACCGGAGAGCGCAGAGGCCCCACACACAACATGATTGCCCTTTCTCGATGGAATGGCGGCATAGCGAGACCCAAGCCAACTGCCTCTCGCGGCCAGCCGAGTGGTGCCCCGCACAATCTGGCGCG